AGAGTATGTGGTTAACTATTGAGATAATTAAGATTAGTAATAAGAGCGGAGTAAAGAGAAAGGGTGGTGGCTGAGGTCAGTATGTGACTATATTGTCAATAACTGGACTATAAAATCTGAGAAGCACCCCACGCTTTGTTTTCCGGTAAAATTAATTTCATTGTCAATTACTATAATCCTATTTTATGTTTGTTTTAAAAGATTAATTAAAGCAAGTAAGGGAACTTCCTATTAAACGAACTCTGTCGTACTGTCATCAGCAGCCGGATTGTAGTATTTGCTATCGCAATCGCCCCTAACAACAGGTAACTCTTGTGTTTTGTTTCTACAAAAAATTTTGCCTTTTCATCCCTCTCCTTAGCGTTCGTTGAAAGGGGCAATGAAGGGGCAACATTTTTTGGTAGAAATGAAAACGCCATAAAAGTGTGAAATCATTAGAAATTTGGCTAGTTTCAACACTTCTCTACACTGATCATATTATGCCGTGAGCATAGTGGATTACCAAAATCACAATCACAGCACAAACGAATGTTCTGAAGGCCTTGGGAGCTCAATTTCCAATTGGCTACAGGAAATGTGGTCCTTAAGCCCATGTGTCGAAGCATTTGCATCTTTAAGTCACTCCCAATCTCTAAAAACAAAAGCATAAAAAGTGTCATTAGTGTGGTTATCGAAAGCACTGTCTTTCACTTTTCGCTTACGCACGTCATTTCTTAAGTAAAACAACAGTTACCAACAAAAACCCAAGGGTTTTTATATACAGAAGTGAACTATCGGTCGGCACTGCACAAGGTAGTGTTATGCCACTGCTACTCCGGTCGCTGGCTGTTAAAAGTTAAATTATTATCAAAAAAAGGGAAGGTGTTCCAGCTTACTGGAAGTTTTAGCCTATGCAAACTCCAAAAAAAGAGGCAGTTATCAATTCGTCGGAATATTTTTTTTTTATATGAAAGAAGGTACGGAAGACGCTCAGCGAAAAAAAAAATTCAAAAATCACTGTCATACTAAAATTTCACGGGCTACAAACCGAATACTCCATCTTTTCTACGAAATCGAATTAAAAATTCAAAATTTTTATAAAAGTTTCTTGCATTTGCCCTAGTTCTATATGAATTTTAGTAAGGAAAATATAAGTAAATCAAATCGCGCAAACGTCAGGGTATACTTATTTTTTAAGCTCACAATTTACGAGTAACTGTATGTATCTTTTAGAAAGTGAAACTAATCTTTGTAATTTCTTCGTTATTTACACTTTCTAAAATATAGTTATATACAAATATTTAACTTAGTCTTACTTTTGACTAAACCCATTAATTTATTTTCCTACATTTTTCTTACAGAGCCACCTTGTAGTTTTCCTGGTTCACCAGCCCACAGTACAGTTGTCTTTTCCAATGCGAATTTAACGCATGGCACTGTTGCTTCCTACACCTGCGAGCGTGGCTTCGAGCTGCTGGGACCGGCGCGGCGTGTTTGCGATAAAGGTGCATGGGTGCCGGATGGCATACCATTTTGTGGTAAGTGTAAATGGAAATTGTAAATAAAATATTTATTTATTTATTTATGCAGCGATAGATAGCAATAACAGAGTTGAAAAAATATAAACAACTGCTGAATTATTTTAAAGAGATTGGCAATAAATTTTAAAGTGAAAAAAGAAAACATTGGAAAACAGATGCAAAAACAAAAAGGAGCATTTACAGACCAAAGATTTCAAACAAACAAAATTTACTACAAAGGCGGCCACCGATTTCCGTCATGGCTATGTCAAATTTCATGTTCAAACAAGGAAATTAACAAGTTTATCAAATTCAAGCTGCACCTTTTGCACTCACATATGTATGTATCTACAAACATAGCACAAATTTGCATGCTGGCGCACATAAGAAATAGTTAGACTCAGCTGGCCAATGTTGTTTGGACATTTGAACGGCAGAAAGGGGACAATTTTGTCATACGCACAGCACATTTTTTACCAAACTCGCGCACTGCGGCAGCTCTGTGTGGCGAATAACTATTTTATTTCTATGTTTTCATTTCATTTCTTTCTTCATAAACTGTGGTGTCACGCAAATGCAGCAATTAGTTGCTCAAATTGCTGACCACCGCAAACCGAAATTAAAGTGGAGCAGACAGCCATGGAACACGCACTCATCAACGTTATTGAATTTCAGCTGCTTTTTTCTACCAAATAAATTCTATTTGTTAAACTAAAGGTTTGCCATCGAAGTGTCAAACGAATCAATGTGCATTGATTATAAATATCGACATTATCTAGATATACATTAGGGTGGTGCTTAAAATAACAAAATTATGGGAACACCTTGTATTTTATTCTATGTACAAAATAAAGGCATTAATGAAAACTTTAAAATTTAGACAAAAATTTTAGGGTCACAAGGATTGGAAAAAAAAATTATTTTTTTTTTTTATTCGCGAAAATTTCACAAAATTTTAATTTTGGCCCCTCTAAATAAGCAAGTTTGGAAATTTATATGAAGTAGCTTCAATAATAGGTCAAATTTATCGGACAGAAAAAAATTCAAACCCTGGTAGCGATCCCTAATTTTTTTTTTTTATACCCGAGCGCACTTGTGCACAAGGGTATTATAACTTTGTTCACATAACGGTTGTTTGTAACAGGCAAAACGAATCGAGATAGATATAGACAAATGTATACATAAATGATCAGAATGAAAAGAGAAATCGATTAAGCGGTGACTGTCTGTCCGTCCGTCCGTCCGTCCGTCCGTCCGTCTGTCCGTCTGTGCACACGATAACTCGAGTAAAAATTGAGATATCCTAACGAAACTTGGTACGTGGATTTCTTTTGGGCATAGGACGGATGGTATTGAAAATGGGCGAAATCGGACAATAACCACGCCTGCCTCCCATATAACGGTAATTTTCAGAAATACGAAAATTGCGATATTTTAGTAACTACTGAAGATAATTCACTCAAAATTGACATTTACAATGAGTTTTAGACGAAAAATAAGAATATTAAAAAATTTTGGCAGATGGGCGTAGCCACGCCTACTTATGGTTACATGTGTATATCTTGGTAACCGCTGCACCAATTTCTTCCAAACTTGGCCAAGTTGTTGGTCCTGCTACAACATACCAAATGGCCGAAAATTTTTAAAATCGGACAATAACCACGCCCACATCCCATATAACGGTAATTTAGAAAAATACGAAATCCTCGATAAATCAGTAAATATTAAAGCTAATTTATTCAAAATAGATGGTGGCAATAATTTTTTACCAAGAAATACGCTTATGATACAATTTTGGAAAATGGGCGTGGGACCGCCCACTTATGATCACATATATGTATCTCGCTAACCGTTCTAGCAATTTGAACCAAACTCGGTATGGTTATTGTGCTTGCCACATAAAAGCAAAGCGATGAAAATTATTGAAATCGGACTAAAATTACGACCGCTTTTCATATAACGGTATATTTCAGAAATGCTTGAAACTGCAATATTTCGAAATTTAAGGACGCTAATTTACTTAAAATTTATACACCCCGGCTTATCGTGTAGCGGTAGCTTTCGGAAAGGTGGAAAACATATATTTAATAATTGCGCCGGGTATTTAATGTTCGGCTCCGCCGGAACTTAGAATTTCTTACTTGTTTAATTTAGAAATTTTCTTGTATGTCTTTGTTTTGCACGGAGAACAAAATAAAGGGGTTTCCCACATAAAATTTAGATGTTTATATTTTTAAAGACCACCCTAGTGTACATATCTATCTAACTTTGCCACTTGCGCATAGAAATTTGACGCCAGCCGCCTATATGGCGACTTTACCGTGCGTACCGGATCTATTTTTGCCACCCAGAAATATAAAAATATTCTGAATAGTTACTTAGGCATTTTTTGCACTTTTTTTCTTTACACTCTTACAACCACGCATTTCTACGCAGTCATGCTTTGCTTTTGTGTAAATACATATCTACTTATGTGTGCTATGTGCTAAAAATTTCACTCAAGTCTTGCAAGAATTAGATTATTAGCACACGAAATTGCTTGTATGCAAATTATTAAAATTAGGCCGCTTACTGGCTTGACTGGTAATTGGTAGAAGAACTACATAAACATTTACATATGTATATACATGTGTGCAACAAAAAACTTTTGAGATTTTGCTAAAAGCGAAAAGGTGCTAAATAAGCTAGCTACCAAAAGATTTGCGGAAGGCATTTCATTGTGGCTTTACCCAAGTAGCAAAGCGCACTGCGTACAGACAGGTAAATGAAGTGATTAAGAAAGTGCGAAAAACAAAAGTAATTGAGCGAAAGATAGTAGGCCTTTAAATTTACGAATACAAAGAGTTTGCAGCAAGTGGCATTCTCACTGCATATGTGTGCAGTTGAGTTTTAAGCAAATTGGAAGAATTACTTATTGTTTAAGTAAACCAGTGCAATGCCCGTCTTCATGTAGTCCAAAGCTATTTTTTTTTGTTATATAATTCAAGTAAGCATTTAATATTTTACAAAAATTTGTATACAAATTTTATTGAGCTTCGTCCAAAATTCAATGTAACAAAAGACTTAAGACGCAAACTTGGCTGTTAAGATTGAACTAAATCAGTTAGAGAGCACCAGTAATAAGTCTGCAATTTGATATTTCCGCTTAAATTTTACCCAAAAAATGAAATAGCTGCTCTAATTTGACGAAGAGAAATTTCAAAAATAATGTTCTAGAACACGGCATTGCAATGCTTTGCAAGAAAGTATTTTGCTTCATCAATGTCAAGTAGTAATATCTAGTACCACGGCATCAATAAAGCCGCCGTCAAGTTGAATCTGAAGTTGTAATTAGTTTCAATAAAACCAGCCAATAAGTATCTTTTCAATCAAATAACGCACAATCTGGTATTTGTGCCGAAAATCTGGCCAAAAATTGTTGTATCGTTTTTTTTTTTTATTGTTTCGTATTTCGTTAGAATATTTAGTAATAATAGCTTGGCGCTTACACACATATGTTAATGTTTGGCCGAGCTTCGCCTTCGATTTGTGGCGTGCGCCTTAAAGTTTTCACACAAAGGGGAGAACCTATAGCTTTGCGCCGTCTCCGAACGGCAGTTTTTCATGTCTAGAAATACACTCGGAGGTTTGCCATTGCCGACCGCTGTTAAGAAAAAGCCTTTTTTCTATATTTTTTTGCGATGTTGCTTTGACCAGGGCTTGAACCCAGGCTCTGCGGAGTGGAAGCGCGCACTGCTTACCACTACACCACAGCAGCCGCCCATACTAATTATACATTACAAAATTTCCGGTGAAAGTCTTCACCGAACAACGATGTGCGTTTCCGGTACTTCAAGTTTCACAGGGCGAAAATTTGTTCCAGCGTTTATTAGCTACTAGAATGAATGGTTTGATCTCTAACATACTGTTTATAAGTGGCTACTGCTATACCTTACCGAGTTATGGGGTGGTCGTACCTCTTCTTGTCAATTCGCGAGCTTTGATTTTATACTTAATACCTCGGTGCACAGGAACTCATATGAGGAGAATTCTAGTTACATATGTTTTCGCTCAAAGATCTACGGCATTTAGGAAGAGAATTTTCATTGTCTATGTGTGAGTCTTAAGCTTTCAGGAATGCCAGACTATGAGAGAATATCTAATAGCCTTACAAAAACATGCAACGGTACCAGGCAGTATGATCTCGATGCCCAAATGACATCGACTGTGATAATTCTCTTCAAATTGCGGTACAAGCACAACATTTTAGCTATATACGTTTAGAACGTAGCAAAATAACTTATCGGGGAATTCTCTCCTATTTCACCTGCTTTGAAAAAGGCATAGGTTCGGCTTGAAATGCTGGTATAAATTCCTTTCGAGGTAATTTTTATTGGCAACCATTATTTAACACTATCAAAAATATTTATTTTTTTTAGGTGCATGCATCTAATTTTACATAAGTATTATTTTCCTATAAATAGGTACAATTTAACAAACTACAGAGATTTCATCCTTAGTGCGAAATATACTTTTATTACCTCAGCGTCTGTATGGACGCTCCAAATCGTCAAAGATATGGTTACCGGTCCGCGGAAGGGGGTCCACCGAAACCAGTTAAAATTTTAAAGTAGTTCGCAAGAAAAAAGGTTGGGAAGCTCTGGTTTAAGGCAACCGTAATTTCCATTTACCTACCTTCAAAGACAAAAAACCGTTGTTGCTTACACCGTTGATGGTGATGATAATTATGTTGCATGCAGCAGATTAGCCATCACAGCATCTGTCACAGTAACATTGTCAAGTACATGAAGACACCGAATGCAAATAGGTAAACAACAGAGCTGACACTTTGCTATAAGCAAAAACAACTACAGCTCACACAAGCATGCATGCAAATACTTAGGTACTTACATTCATACATACATATGCACATATATGTATATACACATAGGTATGCGCCTACTACGCCTGCATGTAATCATTCTACTTAAATAGCATGAAAATGGATAGCATCAAGAAACGGTGTTGTGTGTCGCCCC